TATTACAAGGCTGCAAAACAGATGAAAACTGATAAGATGTTTCTAATTTTAGGCTCTACTTATATCAAGATAAGGAAACAGCATAGAAGGTGACAAACAAAATTAGACATGTAAAACAATTCATAATCCTTTGGGTTTGCTACTCTGCTCCTAACTCCTCTGTGTTCCATTACTCTGCCAGGCTAAACATGAGGCTAGGTCTGATAGGAGACTACAAAAACAAGGTGTTGAGAGGAAAGACAGTCAGAGAAGAGATCCCAGACAAGACAAATCAAACAGAAACGGAATAGCAAAAGTAGTAACAAATTCACTAGGTAAAAAAAAAACATTGTGTTACCATGTTGGTGTATTTCCATGAGCAAACTTGATACCTGTAGGTAATGTTCTATTTTCATGGCAATGTCACAATGCTCTTGGTAGCATATAGACCTGTGAACTTCCTGGGCATGCACTGTCTCCCCACAGTAATGCAATATTTCACACTGGCTAAGGTTTCTACAGAACTACACCATTCTACCTGGTTTGAACTATAAAAATTCGCCCCCTCAGTGTTTTTCCAGACAGAGCCATCCATCTCACTGAACTTGAGCAAGGTCACATTCCAATTACAGCAACAATGAATGGCCGGAAACACCCGTGGAAATTCATGGATCCTTTATTTTATCCATTCAGCTAGCTGCTGAACCAGCCTAAGGTTTCCTCACTTTGTTTCCAAAGGAAGGAAAGAAAGCACGAGAATATTGATGTCCTGAAAATGCCCTGAGCAGATACAACCTTCATACTGAATTCCATTTTAGACACTTCCTATGAGACGCTACTGTTTCATCAAAAATACATTATGGCCTCACAATCAGCTTTGCAATGTGATTGTTAGCTTCCAGTTGTGCTTCTCAGTTCTGGGAGCACTTCAAAATACATTCAGATTACTTTCAGATATCCAGCATTTAGTAACCTCTCCCAATATTCTTTGAGCAAGCAATTATGTACTCAAAGCATTCACTATCTGTCATGCCATGCTTCAGCATCATGCTGTTCATTTGCAATGTCAGACAAATTTCAACCAGCAATGAAAATTTCTTCAGTTCACTTTGTCAGAAGGAACTTTTGAAGTTAATTAAACCAGTTGGGAACACTCACAAAGTTTCATTAGTGAAAACTGCTCTAAGATTTTATTTCTAACAACTTGGGGTTTTTCTCAGTTCCTTTCAAGACGCGATACTCAGTAAGTGAACACCAAACACCTGAGGATGTCACTAAACAGGCTACAGATTATCCAGGGACTGCATCTTTGTGACCCTTAGGGCAGCACCATGATTTCTTTGCCAGCTGCTACAACTGAAAATCCTGCTGTACTGGTTACAGCCAGCAAGGTGCTGGCAGCAGAGGGGCTGCAGGAGCAGCTCTGGGGGGAAAAGGCCGGGGTTATCCTGCCCCAGGCCCAGCTGGTTCCAATAGAACCACAGCAGACACAGCTGAGCCTTCCGCACAACTGACAACACCTCTGGGAAAGTGTGTTTAAGAAAGGGCAGAAAATGCCACAGAACAAAATAAAAGAAAACAAAAGGAGTGAGAAACAGCAGAAAAACACAACATGAAGGTCAGAGAAGGAGAGGGACAGAGGTGCTCCACGGTGCCAGGGAGGAGCCAGCTGGAATGCTCTTGAAGGAACTGGAGAGCCTGTTCCAAAGCAGGACCATTGCCAGTGGGGAGCTCATCCAGAGCAGAGCGAGAACGTGAGAAGGAAGGAGAGGCAGAAAGAAACTATCTTGCACCACGACTCCTTTGCCCCCTGCACCACATGGGGAGGGGCACAGGAGTGAAGTTCAGCCTGGGAAAGAGGAGAGGAAAAGGTGCAACTTTCATGTCTGTCTTTCTGTCTTAGTATCTGACTGCATTTTAACTGGCAACAAATTAAGTTCAGTTCTCCAAATCAAGCCTATTTTGCCCAGAACAGTAACTAGTTAAGTGATCTTCCTGTCTTTATCTGAGGCTCCAATCTTACTCTATATTTTGCCCCTGCCCCTCTAAGGAAGGGGAGAGCCTGAGCAGCTGGGTTAGGCAAGGCTAACTCAGCACCCTGCCCATGACAGTTTTAACCCAATCTTTTAGCAGAATGCTGATGAAGCAAGAGCCCAGACCAAGATTTGTGTTACATGGCACGAATCTCATTACTGCTACTGAGTCCTGGCTCTGAAGTAGAGAAATACAATACAAACAGGCTAAGTGGCTAACAAAATCTGAGTCAGGTTAAAAACCCTTTTTTCATCCATCTATCTATTTACCCATTGTGAAAAGCAATGCAAGTCACAGGCTTGACACAGAACACACATTTTCTGTGATCCAAATTGCGACTATTACATACAGAATAGTAATTCATCAATATTTCTCTTCTCTCTTTTACTTAAAGTTCAGCAAGTTCAGAAAACCTTTCAAATGCCATCAATCACACAGAGAAATTTGTTCTAGGGTCATTTTTATGCATCCAAAATCCTACCTAAACTGTCATTTATATTTGATCCACTGCCAGGTTTTATACACAGGCTTCTATTAGGGAATAGATAGGATCCATCAGCAGAACTAAACAGAAAAAACAATACAATAATCAAGTCCACTCAAAACACTGCACTTCTCAAGTGCTGCATTTCATCAGAAGTACACACTATTGCCTTGTGTAGCCACACAGACCTTTGTCCTGGGAGCTGTCATTGCTGTTTCTTCCTGCATCTTATTTAGGCTGCAGCGTCAAGAGATGGGAATTTGCTAATGCAAAACAGCCCAAATAACAACTTGGACCATTAAACTTCTTATCAAGTTGTCTAATCCCAGTTCCAAGAAGGACCTGTAACTGAGTCCTAGTAAAATAAGTCTATTCTTTTGCAATAGCGCAAGATTGAAATAGAGAGCTTCCCAAAGGATTCATTCCCATCTGCGTTCAAAGAGCAATAAACACTACTCCTAGCAATGTTGATATCCTCTGTTAAAATGCTCCAGCATTCAAGAATTAAAGCCAATTCCCTACACACCAATATATGGTTAGAATAAAGTTCTTCTTCCCTCTCTCTCTCCATGCTTTTAAATCGTTCCTATGACATATTGTTATACATTCAGCCAAAAACCAGATTTTTGCTATCCATTCCCAAGTCAAAACTGAACATCAGTACAGGAGGATGCAGTAAAGTTCAGGGTACTGAACTTTTAAGTTAATTGCTTCAGATTAAGTAGCAACAGGGATATGCATCAGAGTGCCTTTCAGTTCACATGTCTCTTCACAGGTGGAACAGAGGCACTGCCTTTCCCTGGTGGTCTCACTAGCTGATAACCTTGGCCTGCAACCTGTTAGGTACACCTGGATTTGGAACACAGACTTCCAGTTTTCCACACTCTCAACAGCAGGTGAAGACATTTCATTAAATAAATTACTCTCCTCCTGTGTTACACCAATACAGAAGAAGAGTCCCATATGATTAGTTAATTTCTTGTTTATGTTCTTAGGCAGGCTTGAAAGTCATGTACATTGACTTAGTCCTTCATGTGCTGTCAAAAAGTGATAAAATCTGCATGTGATACTTTCCCATGTTTTAAAGATCAGAAATTGCTTCAATAATTTGTATTTTGACTGGTACAGAATCTAGAAGATGCCTTCGCAGGAAAACCACTGAAGTGTAAAGTTACGCAGATTGCATCATTTTCTCTTGATATGCTTCAGCTAGGTAAAACATACAAAGGTTAGAGAAATTTAAGTCAAACTGTCAATAACATCTGCAGAGCTCTCCCTGCCTCTCTGAAGTACCTAAGTACATCTTGAAACTATGAAGATCGTGCTTCCCAACTAGGCAGCAAAACATATTTGCCTTTGCTTGAGGTGATCTCTAACTAGCTCATAGTGTATCACTCAATGATGCATGTCCTGAAACTAAACATACCTTCCACCTTTTCACTCATGTTTACTTTTAGTTAGGATAACACCAGTGTCAGGAACACCACTCAGTTGTTTTTAAGGCAAACACATATAAATGTTATCTACTACCCATTTATTCTTAAATTCTTTTCTCTTCTTTGAGTCAGGCTTTCCCTCTTTTATAGAGCTGAATCATGCAGTTTTCTTCCCCATCTAAACATGCAAAGCTATCACTGCTTCCACAACAAACTTCCAATGATGTCAATGCTTTGCCTCATCCTCTCTGACAACTTATCGCCTCTGAATTCACACCAAGTTCTGTCTTCACAGACTTGACTGCTCTCTGAAAATACCCCTAGGTCCACCTCAAGTGGATCAGTGAGCCCAGAGAGGCTCCCATACACTATCCCCATATTTTTTCTCACACAGAATTAAGGCATCCATGCCAAAGACAACTTCCCTGTATCTCCCTCGTTTATTACATACTTCCATGCCTCAGAACGAAGGACTGCTTTTCACCTCCTTCAGTTAAACATACAGAAGTTTGTGACATAAGAATTAAGAGAACAAGCAAAATATTTATAGTTTCTACAATAAAATAAATAAAGCTGCACTATATTGCTGAGGATTGCTCTTAAGAGAAAGGACAGAAGCCTTCCCAGAACACGCTGTGCACAGACCCTCTGGCAGGCACGGGAGGCAGAAGGACATTTCGGGCTTTATGCACACTGTCAGCATGTGCGCCGGCAAACTGCAGGCTCGTGATATCCCCCGGGCTGCTCCGCGCCCCGGGCCGGGAGCGCACAGGGCCGCGCTACTCCCCCGGCCCGACGGAGCGCGGCCCGCCCGGCTCTGCGGGGGCTCCACGGGCGATGTGCGCGGAGCCTCGGGCCGGGGTCGGGGTCGGGGCCGGGGCCGGGGTCGGGGCCGGGCCCGGGGCGGCTCCCGCCTCCTTCCGCGCTGCTCCCGCCCGGCCGGGCCGCCCCGAGCCGCTGCCCTCCCCTCCCGCCGGCGGCCCCGCCGCCTGGCCCCGCAGGCCCCTCTCGCCGGCCCGCCCGGCTGCACCTGCCGGGCCCCCGCCGCCGCCCGCCCCGCGCCGCACCGTTCGCGATGAGCTTGGCCGAGAGCTGCTTGACGAGCTCGGGAATCCGCTCCCATTGGCACTCGGAGCGGCACCGCTCGATCTCCATCTCCAGCCGCGAGCCCGCCTTCCTGGTGGCCATGGTCGGGCCGAGGGGCCCCGGCGGGGGAAGGGGCCGGGGCGGCGGGCAGGGGGAGGCGGGGACGGGCGGCGGCGGCCCCGGCAGCGGCGGAACTCGAGCGCCGCGGCCGCGCCGCGCTGGCGGCCCCGGGAGCGCCGGGAGCAGCGCCCCCTGGCGGCTGCGCGGGGCGGGGCGGGGCGGGGCCAGCGGAGGGGCCGGGCGGGCCTGGCGGGCAGCGCGGCCCGGGCTGAGGGAGCGAACACTCGGCAGCTCCCGCCGCCGGACAGCGCTGCCCGGGCATCCGCGGGAGGCCTAGGGAGAGCAGGAGGGACAGGGACGGAGGGAGAGAACGAGCCTTCCAATGCGAGCGCCGCGCCGCGCCGCGCCGCTGAAGGTGCCGCTGGTAGAGGGCCCCGGCAAGAGTTGACCCCCTGAGAACCCGCTCACGCCAGGAGTGGGTGGCTATGGCACCTTCGGGTGGTTCTGTTCCTCCACAGGCGAGGGATGAGCACACACCGCCTCTCTCTGCTACACTTTCCCCTTCCCCAAAATTAGTAACTAAAATTAGTGCCTGCCCATCGCTGGTCACCTCCTCGCCCGCCTTGGAAGCGCTCGCTCGAGGGGTTTCAGTGCCTTCAATGGCGCTTTCCCATTCCGTGCCCCCACCGTGGTCTCTGCAGTCCCAGCAGCCCGCAGAGCTCACACCGTGCTCCGGACCCAGCAGAGCCCAGCACGGCCACCTGCTCAGGGCTCACCTGTGCCTTAGTCAAAAAACAGAGGGAAAGAAATATACGGAGATTACATCCTATCTTTGGAGAAAATAAATGGATTTCCAACGTTTGGCTAGAATAAAAACAACTAGCTGAAACAATTCCAATGGTACTGTGTATCTTTATCAAACACGCCATCACACAAACGTGACACAGCAATTCCACAACTCACATACATCTTACAAAGCTTCAGCCATGACTGATTTTCACTGAAAAAGTAGCAAGAAGATGTAGCTGGGGGGAAAAAAATCTCACAAATTGCTACTTACTTTTCACAAAATAAGGATACAGCCCATTGACCGAAGGAAATGTTTTGCAGAGATATGGTGTAGCTACATACAACATGAATTCAAATAATTCAACTGTCTCACTCCATGTCTTTGGGTCATAGTGGAGACTTGTACAATTAATTCTTTCATCCACAGAAATGAGAAGTCAGTGAAGCCACAGGAATTTGGTTGAGTTTATGAGGATGGCTGTCACAGATGATGATGAAGTTTCAAAAAACAGGCTGGATTTTTGCTTTTACATGCATTGCACTCCTCTGTATCTAGCACATGTTAATCTTCAGAAATTACAAGTTCACAGAGTCAGAAGTCAAATTTGGGCAAACATAAAACTACTGGCTGTTCTATAAATAGATCTGCAAAATACAAATATGACATTGCCTGTGGGCATTGGGAGAATTGTTTACATAACAGAATTTCTAAACAATTATCTGCTTCATGTGTGTTCAGATATACAAGAGACAGGTGCTTCTGAAGTTTTGCTTAGTTTTGATCATCAGCTGAAACATGAGAAACAGCATGGATTTTTTTTTAAAGAGATGCAGTTTCCATTGAATTGACCAGGAACAGACCTAGGCTTACACAACTAAAAGCTTGTTAGTGTGTTTCCCAGCTATATCCTCAATGTAATAAATACTACTTCCAACAAATCTTGTTTTGCTTCCATCATCCCTAGACCATCACAACTATTGCAACACTATGACAGGCATAAAATATCTTGTTCAGTGTTTCAAGAAATTTACTTTTCATTCCCAGTGTTATTAGAAGCACAACACCACAAAATTCAGATACTGTAATTTGCCTTTTAGTCCAGATGCTTTTATAGCACCTTCAGGTTACAGTCCCATTTCAAACAAAATATCCTTCAGGTTTTAAAAGTGAAATAAAATGGTAGCAGAACATAACAGTGTTTAAAAACACAAAGGAATACTGCAGGATTGGAGAGAGGATTTAATAATGTAACAAAACCAAAAGGATAAATAAATAAGAAAGCATTTTTTGCATACATGAGTTTTCAGAAGATCCAGAGAATGTCAAACTGATTACAACATGTTTTTTTTTATGGAGGAGAAAAGATAAGTTAAAGATTAGAAAGGAGAAGAATGATAATTCAAAATGTTTGATATTATAACTACTAGTTCTTTTACAGATAAGACTATGAAAACTAAAATTTCAACTTTCTAAAAGAGCTAATTTGCCTATGAAGATTATTCATATTGATTCACAATAATTCTAACACATTTTGTTAGCACTGATCACATCATTTCACCAAAAGCTACCAGCAATAGTATTAAAATATTTACATTACAGCTCATCAGGCTTATTATCTCAACAGCTCCTATTTATGAAGTGAGACATCTATGCAAAAGGAATTAGCACATTTTGAAATGCTTAGGAAATCTGCTTTAACATTAATGAAACTTCCGTGCACCCAAGACTGCTCTGAGAAGATTCCATTGTAGATGACCAATGGTGGAATTCAATAATGGATTTGGAATGGATAGCACAAAAGTAAGAGAGAAAAGAAGTACAATCCTGCATATTTCGTCAAATGTCCCTTATTTTTTCAGCCTTAAACAAAATATTTTTTTCTGTAAATGGCCTCTTTATTACACTGTTGGGGTAAACCAACGCATGCATGTACTTGGCTAGAAAGAGTCTGCTTTTAAGGTTTGCTGGCTAGCAAATATAGAGAGGTACCTGGTTTGTGAAAAGGAGGGAAATTCAAAATGCAGGAAAATAACTAAGATGTATTATTCTATCCTTTTGCCTTATGCCATCTCTCCCATTCCAATCCCCCCAAACACAGGGGGAAGAGAAGTGGATTATTCAGTGCAATTTCATGAGTTTGGTATGAAGAAACAAGGCCTTTCACTACACAGCTACACTGTGGTGGTTTGAGCCTGGCTGGGTGCCAGGTACTCCCCAAAGCCACCTGATCATTGCCCCCCACGAGTGATCAGGGAGAGAAAATACAACAGAAGGCTCATGAGTTGAGATAAGGGCAGGCAGAGGTCACTCACTGATTACTGTCACGGGCAAAACAGACTCAATTTGCAGATATTAATTGAATTTATTACCAAGCAAAATCAGAGCAGGATAACTAAATAATGGAAACACTTTTGCACCACCCTTCCCTCTTTCCTGGGCTCTACCTCCTCCCCGCCAGCAGCACAGGCAGACACGGAACAGGGCTTATTCATCACCTGTTGTTTCTGCCACTGCTCAGGGAGAGAAGCTCTCATGTCCTTCCCATGAGAGACAGTTCTCCATGAACTTCTCTAGTGTGAGTCCTTGCCATGGGCTACAGTTCTGCACGAACTGCTCCTGTGTGGGTCCCTTTCCACAGGATGCAATCCTTCAGGAACCCACTGCTGCAGTGTGGGTCCCTTTCCACAGGATGCAATCCTTCAGGAACCCACTGCTCCAGTGTGGGTCCCCCATGGGGTCACAAGTCAAGCTCTCCCTTACATGGGCTTCTCTCTCCACAGGTCTGCAAGTCAGGAGCATGCTCCCGTGGGTTCACAGCCTTCCTCTGGGCACCCACCTGCTCCAGGTGGATCTCTGCTCCCCTGCTGACCTCCACAGGTTGCAGGGGCACAGCTGCCTCACCCATGGTCTTCACCATGGGCTGCAGGGCAATCTCAGCTCCGGTGCCTGGAGCAGCTCCTGCCCCTCCTGGACAGACCTTGGTGTCTGCAGAGTTGTTCCTCTTCCTCTCACACTTTCTCACTCCTCTCTTCCTGGTCTCAATTACATCTATGCAATAACATTTTTTCCTTCTTAAATATGTTATCACAGAGGCTTTATTATCATCATCTCTGATGAACTCAGCCTTGGCCAGAGGTGGGTCCATCCTGAAGCCAACTGGTCCTGGCTTTGCTGGATGTGAGGGAAGCCTCAGCAGCTGCTCACAGAAACCATTCCTGCAGTGTCCCCTCCACTACCAAAACCTGGCCACACAAACCCAATACACACACTGATATGGTACTCCCATACTCCTCATAACCTGAAAATAAACCTGGTAAAGAAACTTTCTGCACTAGTACTCCGCACAGAGCTATGAGAAACAGGTGTGATGGGCCTTTAAACTGATGACAATGTTAGAAAGAATATAAACTGACTTAAATAAAGCAGCACTTTAATCTCTGCTAAGATATTAAACATTCTTTAACGAGGAATCAGAAAAATCAATTCAAAAAGTACTTGCATTTATAAAGGCAACATATGAAAATAGGCTGCTCAAAACACAGAGGAGAGGAAAAAACCTCCTGCAAGTAAACTCACAGGGTCAATGGGTTTTTTATTCCAGGCAGTATTTTTGGCTTCTTAGACAAATACTATGCACCACTGAAGTGATGAGGAAGAATTCAAGATTAACAGCCAACTTGTGTCAAAGGTTAGCAATGCTTAATGCCAGTGTTGTTTCATTATTTAAAGAAAAAGTGTTTAATATGCAAGTTTAGCTACTACTCTGGTTTTACGTTGGCACACTGACCAGTGGTATGCTGTTTTTTTCCAAAAAAGTTCATCTGAAACTGCTAGTCATAATGATGATTCTTAAAATTATTTTTCTACCTATAGCACACATCAGAGAAAGAAAAAAATTTTGAGGGAAATATGATGCTATAGAAGACAACATAAAAGCCCTTTTTTCATATTCATAGTAAAACAAAACAAAAAAGTAAACATTAAAAAGCTTTTCCTCACCACAAATGGTAATTTTACCAATCTTCTGTCTTTCAATTAAAATCAACATTGCAATGCTTATTAGAATGTAAAATATATTCCTACTGCAAGTGATCAGAGATGCAATTCAAATACTATTTGTATTTTAAGGCAATCATAATCAACTCCCACTACCGTCTGCTATTTTGTAGAATGTGAAGTGCAAAAATTCTCAGGCCAAAACTCATTAGTGGGATAATTAATTCCTCTGCAGTGAAGAGCACAGCTCATAACCATTAACAGAAGCAGAACTTTTACTGGAACCCAAGTCATCTTTTTTTTTC